CAATATGTATTGTGTATTAACAAAATATGGTTTAAAATTACTCATGCACACCAAAACATGCCTCAAGCAGTTTTTGTCGCTTTCCAGTTTACTGCAAACAAATTCTAATACGGTTGTTCCTTATTCATCGAGCAAGCTATTAACGCCTTGATGTTTGAATTCTAACTCAAGACGAGATGAAGTTAGGGCTCCACACAGACGTGGCGTGGATTGGTTGACGACAGGGTTCGTATCTATTTACCCACAGCTATCAGTCAAACAGCTTCGCAAACCTTCTTCAAACTGGTCTTTATGCAGATGAAGACCAATGAAAACAATTTGCGTGACGCGACTCTCGTTGCTTACAAATTCGTCGTCATTCCAGCATTCTTCAGAGGCATACACCTCGAACAGCTCTTGAACAGCCTGCAATATGTACTTTTTCCGTTCATTCGCGACTGAAACAATACCCTTCATACGAAAAATCTTCTGTCGTAACGCGACATCAGTGCCTAACATACTTTCAGCACTTTTACCTACATCTTGTTCCCACAACAACTCCCCAAGCCACCTCTCGAGTTTGTCCTGGTCCAGTGGCGCGTCTTTAATCCTCACACACACAGTCTGCATGCCACCAGTGTGAATCGAATGGTCATGATCCTCACCATTGCACTGCTCTTGGTCAAAAATTTCCTTCCTTTTGTGCATTAGCGCGTGCAGCTCTTTCTCCACTTGCTCGGCCCTGATGGTCGTGAAGCTTTTAATATTGAGAATGTCAGCCAAGTCGACTCTGGACCTTTCAGTCCAGCTGACGCTGGCCATTCCGTTAATCTGCTTGACCTGACGCTGAATACTAGCACGCTGCTTCATATCCGACAAAAGATCACTCTTATTTAGCAATATCCGGTCCGCGTAAGCCAATTGTGCCACCGCCTCTCGCAGCGTGTCCGGGTGCTTCAGATAAAAATCGAGACGCGGGGAGTCCACAAGTGTGACGATTCCGTCCAGAAATATCCGACTTTCCAGTTCACTGTCTACCCAAAAAATACTAGCAACTCTGCCGGGATCTGCCATGCCCGTGGTCTCTACCACAATATAATCAAAGCGATCACGGCGCTTTAGCAGCTTTTCCAAAGTATTCACCAGATCGTCACGTACTGAGCAGCATATGCATCCATTGCTAAGCTCATAAAACCCGTCCATCACGTTCCCGTCAGCGCCGTCTTTGGCCACGAGACTCTCTACACCAATCTCCTCTCCAAATTCGTTCTCAATCACTGCTATGCGTCTGCCATGGAAAGACGACAGGATGTATTTAAGCAGCGTTGTTTTACCAGCGCCTAAAAATCCAGACAGGATCGTCACAGGAATCATTGAGGGAGCTACAGCTACTGCATCTTTTTGCGATTCTGAGTTCATAATCGGAATTTCCAAAAAAAATTTAAACGACTGAATTCGTGTGGCCAACATCATGGCCTGAAAATCCTGCTGAAAAGTCAAAGGGAAAAGTCTACGGATCCGATCACCGAAGGGGAGAGTAAACCGCTGTTTTTCAGACTAAAATGGTGAAGAAAGTTGGTAAGTCATCCGTAGCATCAACAATAGTTCTCCAGATCTCATTGCAGTTGCTGTTGTTGCCACTTTTTTCGCTGTACAGGAAAATACGAGATTGGCAAGACGCTGGGCGAAGGAACCTTCGGAAAGTAAGATTACCTACTTATCGGGATGTCATCACGTCTTATCCATCTTTTTGTAGAGTCAAATACGCGGTAAATACGGAAACAGATGAGCGCGTGGCCATTAAGGTACTGGACAAGGAGAAGATTCAAAAGCAAAATATGGGTGCGCAGATCAAAAAAGAGATCTCGATCATGAAGATGGTGCGACACAAGCATGTTGTGGTGCTGAGAGAAGTGCTAGCGAGTCGTACAAAGGTTAGCTGATATCAACATAGAGTGATGAGTACGATGAGTTACTCTCTGACCGGTACATTATTAACTGCTGTAGATTTTCATCGTTCTCGAGCTGATCACGGGCGGCGAACTCTTTGATAAGATCGTTAGCGAAGGAAGGCATGTTCGAATATCAAATTGTTATTAGGTGATGCAAGCCTCACTTGTTTCCTTTACTGCTGCAATAACAGATTTGGCGAAGAGACGGCGCGCTTTTACTTTCGTCAACTCGTGGATGGAGTTCAATACTGCCACGAAAGCGGCGTGTGCCATCGCGATCTGAAGCCAGGTTCGTCCATTACGTTTTTCTATCATGACAAATGAGATTGTTTGTTAAGGATGCTTCTTCATATTTCAGAGAATTTGCTGCTAGACGAAAATGGTGATTTAAAAATTTCGGACTTTGGTCTCTCGGCTTTGTACGAAGGAGGCGGTCCGGACGGTCCGGAGAGCTCGCGTGCCTCGCTATTGCACACAACGTGTGGCACACCTAATTACGTGGCCCCTGAAGTCCTTGCTGACAAAGGTTACGATGGACGTGCGGCTGATGTCTGGTCCATGGGAGTTATTTTGTATGTGTTGCTGGCTGGATTTCTACCGTTCGATGAGCCCACGATGTCGGCGCTTTTCCGCAAGATCCAGAAGGCCGAATTCTCGTATCCAAGTTGGTTCACTCCGCGAGTCAAAGCGCTTTTGAATCGCATTCTCGTCCCAGAACCAGAGATGCGTATAATGATCAAGGAAATTTTGCAAGACGAGTGGTTCACGAACGCTTACGATGATAATGATCAAGTGACTCCCGTGGCAGGACCTGGCACAGTTAGTGACGAATTGGCGGATGCTCCGGTGCCAAATCCCGTCGACCACATGACGATTAAGCCGAGCCAAGCAGATTTGGACGCTGCTATTCAAGAGCATCAAGATGAGATCAACTGCGACAAAAAGGACAAACTGGACGGCGGGTTGAAAGTAATGAATGCGTTTGACCTGATCAATATGTGCGGAGGCATGGCGCTAAATCGCATGTTTCAGAGCAATGATGAGAAACGAGTGAAGCGATCGACACAGTTTACGTCCACCATTCCGGCAGCGAGCATCATGACTCGTCTGACCGGGCATTTGGAGAATCTGCATTGTGAAATTACAGTGGAGAATTCGTCAAAAGTAAAGGCAGTACTGCAAACCCCCAAGGGAGCTGTTGGAGTGGTCATTCAGATTTTTATGCTTGCAGACAGTCTCCACCTGGTTGAGGTGCGTCGTGGAAAGGGCGATATTTTCGAGTATCACAAGTTCTATACGCAGTTAAACGAGCAGATGAAAGAATTGATCGCGCCCTCCGGTAGCAGCTAAGATAGCGATAGCAAGAACGTCGTTGCGCTGCTTCGAGGATATGGTAGCTTATAAGGGTATTGCTTTAAGGGCCTCTCTTTCTGTGTTTCTTGTTGCTCGAGTGGTGAATACACTGACGATACGTCATTGACTATTCTTGCATAAGTTTGGCTTGGCTTGTATCATCAAATGATAGCTCTATAGTTAGGCGTTCGGGTCAACATATTTGTATCAAATTTTTAACATGCATCTTAATCGACAATTTCACCACTTGGCTTCTTGGATGCTGCAACACCAATTGCGTTAAGACTTCCTCCGAGGGCCAGACCACCGATAGTTGACATAATTGACGAGCCAGCGGAAGAACTGAAGGCCCCCAAGGCACTTTGGGACATCAGCGACTGCATCTTTTGCTTGGCGTCCTTTTTGCATCTTGTATAACCGATAATGTTGGCACCGCTCAGCGCCACGGCAACCACCACGATCAGTGCCCATTCAACATTAAACTTGAGCACGGCAATAATGAGAAGCATAACCCACAACCCCGGGGCACCGTACAGTCCCGTCCAAAAGACGCGAGAGTCTAATGGATCGATATCTGTCATGTCTTCGTGGGACTCGAACACCCACTCACTTGTTCCATCGTCGTTAATCTTGTTCCACCAGCGTAGACCCACAAGTAGCCGCCCCGTTACATTCTGCTCATTTGATAACAAGCGCAAGTAGAATCAGATCCTTACCATATCTCTTAATCTGTCGTACCTTAACTGTCCAAAAGTCAAATGCCAACAGAAGAATGCAGACCACGAAGATAAAGACAAAGTTGCTGATGAAAATACTACCAAACAAATACAGCAATAATGCGAGTCCCTTAAAAAATAAGTGGAAGAAGGCTGCCAATGGATGCTTGGCGCTCGTGACAGTCTTCCGTATAGAGACGATTCTATATTCAAGACGTCAATTTAGATTAATACAGGTAGAATTAAATGTCACGTACAACGCCGTTTTATCGCTTTTTTCAGGGCTAACGTTTTTTTTTACATCTGATATACGCTCGGAAGAGCTAGTCGCCAAGGCGTCCGTCTCAACACTGATGAATTCTAGTTCCTCCTCCTGTAGTTTTTTGTCCTCAGCCATCATGATGACAATTCAGCTTGTTGGCATTTGATAATTTTGCAGACAGAAAATGCCGTTGATTGGATAAAACTACTTAATGTGCGGGTCTTTTCTAAACCTACTTCGTCGTCGATACCTGGATGATGGAGCTTTTCATATGGATGCATGAAATGACCTCGGCGATGAAAGGTGCCACTGATAGTGTCACGATTTTGGGCGCAACTCCTTTCGATTTTACGGGCACAGGAATTGTGTTTGTTGTCACTAGTTTGTCTAACTCAGAACAATTCTGCAGTGTTTCCATCGCCTGCACAGAACACCACGATATTACATCAAGAAACCCCAGGTGAATACATGGAAAAATATTTACATGAGCCGAGTAACGCGCGTGTACAGCGAAGGCCGAGACAGTTTTGGCACCATTTGCCTTCAGTACCTTGGCAGTCTTCACCAGCGTCGAGCCAGTATCTACGAGGTTGTCTACGATGATGCAATCCTTGCCATTCACATCGCCAACGAGCTCTCCAGGCTGATCTTCGTCGAGTTGGTGTTTGCGAATCACAAATGCCAGCGGTACAAACTCGTCAACCGTCCGCGACAGGGTGTCTCGGAACATGGCTGCACGATTCACTGCAGCTGAGTGTGGCGCCACGACGATTGGGTCACCCAGACTCTGCTCCGAAAAGTAAACGGCACCAACAGGAAAAGCTTGAAGATTATCGACCTGTGGTTTGATGCAGTCAGCATATTTTTGTTATCGAATTCAATGTGCAATGTGCAAGCGTACCGGGATTTGGGGCTTAAAGAATCCCTCGATTTGAGCGCTGTGAAGGTCCACCGAGACGACGTGGTCCACGCCCATGGTTTCAAGCATGCGCGCAATATCCTAAAATTTGAGTGTGAATTTAATACTCAGTCGCAAATTTTCTGTCTACGGCGCGTACCGCAGCAGCGATCGGTTCACGGCCTTTATGCATCAAATCCATGCGAGCGTAGCCATAGAATGGAATCACAGCAGTGATACTTTTGGCTGAAGCACGACGCATGGCTGAAATTGCTAGCAGTAGCTCCATCAATCTGTAAAAAGTTAGCAATGCCTTGTATAATCCCATAAAGTGTACCGTATAGACATACCGATCCACCGTGGTAGTAGAGCTAACAATATAGACGCGGTTTCCGCGCACATTCTCATTAACAATCACACTGGTTTCCCCATCGTTGAATTTCTTCACTTCCATGTCATTAAGCTCAACGCCCAAATATCTAGCGATTTCGTCAGCAATGGGCGTCTCGGCCACCTTGAAAAGCTTTACTGATTCAGCAGCGTTTGGGTTCATCTTTCCCTTGTAAAAGTGCCAATGTTTTGTCGTAGTATTCGGGTACCACTCAGTTTTAGTCGCTTCTGTGCCAGCCTCAGCCAAAGCTGACGACAACTCCGTCCGCGAGGTTAGACCACCGCCAAGCATGCCTAAGGATCCAGCCGCCACCAGTTTCATTACGTAGTGCGAGGTCGAAATGCTGCTCAGCATTCGAATACGATTCTACATGATTGAATTAGCATTTTATATACAACTTGAATGAATCAAGCGGCACCATGGTGATGGGAAGCGAACGAGTGTTATACGAATACCGTTTTTGTACTGCAATGGTTTAATCTTTTTGATGTAGTGTACGTGAAGATATCTGCGACGTGTGTTGGCAATGTCTTTGTAGTGTGAACGGTTGGTGCGACACAAACTGATCACTCTGTTCAATCGCTTCGTCACGATGGGGGATAAGAAGACGAACTTGTACGACGTCAACTGGCAAAAGGTCTGGCCAGACCGCATGCCCGTAATTTTGCGCGATTTGGCTCCGACAAATCCGTTTAATCCGCGCAACTTGTGGCCAGAGGAGCAGGAGGAGGAAACGCAGGCCCTTCAGAATAAGGGTGGTGCAGTAAAGGAAAAGAAGAATGCAATAAGTGGGAAGCTGAAAAAAGCGGATCTGATTCGCATGCAACTAGCTAAAGATAAAGCTCAAAAGCAGAGCAAAGTGGACGAGGAGAAGCTTGCAAACGTCAAGAAGTCTAATAATCTATTGGACATGAAAATGGCGACCCCGACTGGTCGCCTCAAGCAGCTTTATGAGATCTTGCGAGATTGTTGCAAGAAAAAGGAGTATACAGACGCAGTAGATACACTATGGGAAATTCAGCGCTCAAATTTTTTTGAGCGCTCACCCGAAGGCCGCAAGAAGAACGAAAAACAGAAGAAAGTGGACGAAGAAGAAGATGCTAAGCTTCTTGTGAAGCTCAATGCTGTACACAAAAAGTACCGTAAGTACGTCAAGATACTCAACGATTATCTAGCCGAAAAGGACCTGATTGAATGGCAGCTTACTGAGATGTCGGACCGTTTGCCACCTCTTAATATGCACCATATGAATAAGTTTATTCTCGACGATTGGCAGCGCACCGTGCTGACTCATATTGACCAAAATCACTCGGTTATTGTTTGTGCCCCCACAAGCTCTGGAAAGACAGTGCTGTCATCGTACGTGTCTGTGGTAGGTGGAAAAGTGCTTTTTGTCGTTCCGACCGATCCTCTCGCTTGGCAAGTGGCTGCCCTATTCCAAGCTATGGTCAAGGGGTCGGTTGCTCTCATTACGGAAGGCACAGTATTTTTGCCGCCTGGATTTCGGATCGCTGTTGGTACTCCACGTGCTGTCGAGTCGACACTCGTTAAAATTGGTTACGACTTTCAATACGCAGTCTACGATGAAGTTCACGATTTAAATGGACCTGAGGGAGACGCGTTGGAACGTATAGTCAAAGCCGTGACGTGCCCGTTTCTGGCGCTTTCTGCTACAATTGGAAATGCTACAAAATTGAAGATATGGTGGGAGTCACACCTTTCGCGTGAAGTATATTTGCTTGAGTACAAGGGTCGATTTATTAATCTACAGCGAATTATATGGCATGAGGAAAAACATCAGGACGTGGATAAATCGAAGAAGCAAGAGATGGTGTACCTCCATCCATGTGCTGGTGTGACTATCGACTACCTGACGACGGTCGGTTTCGATGCGGGTGATCTCGCATTCACTCCTCGTGATGCATTTGCTCTGTGGAAAGCTATGGAAAAATTTTACCCCCGCGAATTGATCGAGGATGTCGATCCGCACAACTTCTTCAAGTTGGAGGACGAGACCAAAGTTAATGATACTGTCATTTTAAACGAAAAGGACAAAAAGGTGAAGAGCGAGAAAAAAATCAAAAAGGACAAAAAGGTAAAGAAGGATGAGGACAGCGACGAGGAGTACATTGTAGACCTTGGGAAACGCACTCATCGTATCACGCTTATGGAGTCGAAGAAGTTCGAGGACAAAATTAAGCAAAGATTGGAAAGTCTCGCATCCAAGGAGCCAAAGGCGACTCAGTTACTCCTTGACTTCTTTGCTCCACCAGCAAGTCTACAAGATATCACCGTGGATCTGCGCGACCCTAGGGATACAAACCCTACCAGTTTGGTCGATGTCTATGCTCTTGTGAATCAGCTTTGCACCAAAACTCTTGTTCCTGCTATTGTTTTCCAGCTCGACTCAGTTCGGTGCCGTCAACTTTTTAATCAGCTTCTTGCATCAATTGAAGCAGCAGAGATCACGAAGTATCCAAATTTTCGTGAAAAAGTTCATCTCGAGTATGCCAAGTGGGAGAAAAATCAGGCTAGTATGAAGAAACGAGAGGTCAAGGTAAAGGCAAAGGGTAAAGAAGAAGACGATCGTGAGGCACAAGCATTTGAGGAGAAACCGCCTCCAGATATTTATGCACCGCATCCTGACTTCGTGTTGACCCCTGCAGGGTCTCGTCTTACGGCTACAGAATTTAAAGAGATCAAGTGGCAGCTCTGTCACGAGCTGTCAGAGGATTCAGACGACGGACACGCCCTCGTGCGGTCATTGCGCCGTGGTATTGCCATATACAATCAAAACTTGCCGGCTGCATATCTGCGTATCGTTCAAACGCTTGCCCAGGCAGGTCGTCTGGCGGTTGTGTTCTCGGATGACTCTCTCGCATATGGTGTTAATATGCCATTTCGAACATGCTGCTTCTGTGAAGACACAGCAGAAGATGTGTTGACGTCTCTTATGGTGCAGCAGATGGCAGGTCGTGCTGGTCGACGTGGTCTTGACCGACAAGGCAACATTTTATTTGCGGGTTTGTCGTGGTCTCGTATTCAATTTCTAATGCGCGGCCTGCTTCCGGATGTCACGGGCCGCAATTCACTTTACCCAACCATTGCGTTGCAAAAATTGCTTTCAAATCATGTGACTGACAACATTGTGCAGCGCATTGTAGCGCATCCACTTCATGAATTCATGCTTACGGATGCGACAACGCCTTCACCCCAGATACAAGAATCGTACTTGACCAGATCCGTTAAATGGATGGCGCACTTTGGTTTGACAAAGCCTGGGTACAAACTTGCAGTCGATGTGTCCGTTGCCGAGCTGGTGTGGGAGTGCCGTGATGATCCATCGGAGGCATTAGGCATTTTTTGGATTTTAGAGGCGATACTAAAAGAGTTTCATCACAAACCTGGTGACAAAATCGCGCTCCAGCTTGCTCTATTTAACATGCTGTTACGAGTCGTTGGCCGCGAGAAGTTTCACCCCGAGTACGCTCACGGATCAGAACTTGCTCCTCTTCCTGGACAAGAAGAGGTCTGGGAGATAGTCTCGTCGTTGCTTAAATCGTATGAAGCCAAGCTCAATGAATTGGGCGAGAACGCGCCAAAAGACCTGCGACTGCGAGTGGCGTTATCCGATCCACTCGATGGCTACGTGTTTCGTACTGTTGTGGAAAATTTGATTCCTCAGGGTCTTGGTACGTCGCAGCTAAACCAGATCAAAAAGCGTTTGCGGCACGTAGGGGACCGACTTCGTTTGATGCACAACTTGCTCATGTACAGTGGACGCTTTGGTGAACTAGAGGAAATTGTGCGCAAATGTTTTCGCCGAATCAAATGGATCCTCATTGACTCTGAAGTTTAAAATTCTTGAGTAACTAAGCCTACACTAAAACTCGGTGTAGCCACGAGCAATGGACGTGAAACAAGAACGAAAGAGGATGGACTTGTAATTGCTCTTGCGAATGTGGGGCAAGCCGGAGTTATCACTGATATTGCGATGTAAACTCGATCGTCTTGCTCAAGCCTAATTAAGAAAATATTTCTACATTTTAGTTTAGTGAGTAACTAAATTAGGGCTTTACTTGACCTTGCATAATTAGTCTTAACTCAATTGTATCGACAAATCAGGTTGATCGTCGACATCATGTTGCCTATGATTAAGTTAGGCGGCTTGGTAGCTCGCACGTTAACAAAACCACTGGCGCGAGTTGTCAAGTCGCGATCTAAGGCCCATCCATTGCTGAATGCCACGTGCGAGCATTTGGGCCAGCAGCAGCACCGAATGAGTATGAAGCTACACATGGGTTTTCGAGGCATCTCGAACTACACTATCAAGCCACTGCCGGCGGATCAAGCCGTAGAGCATGGTGCAGACCTAATAGGTGAACTGCTAATATTTTCAGTGGCCCTGGGAGTCGCTTCGCTCGAGTACTCGCGCTCAGCCGCCACCGCACGCTTAAAGGAGGCCAAACAGAAAGAGTTGCAGCTGCAAGAAGAGCGTGAGTTGGAGGCGCGTTTCGAGTATTTAGAGTCGCAGGTAGTATGGCTAGAAAATTGCTTGATGGCAATTACGAAAATAATAGAGAACGAGATTGGTACAAGGCTGGAAGTGCTTGTGACTGAAGACAAACGATACAAGGAGAAAGAGATTATGAAGCTCAAGCCTTTGCGCGCGCACAGGCGAGAACAGCAAAATCTTGACATGCATGTTGGTGTTGACATTGACGACAAAGTAGCCGAAGGAGCCACATCATCGATTGCAAAGGTTTGGGCTACTACATACAATGCAGTGTCTGGATTGTTTAAGTAGATAAATGGGTCACGATCATGTAAACAATTTGAGTATATGTCGTACTTTTGAGATTGCACGAGCCTATCAACTTCGCGCAAAATACAAAATTGTATAAATGCAAACTTACATTTATGAGAAATCACTCCACTTTAATAAAAGTAATACTCGATAAATGGGTCACAATCATGTCTTCGTGTTTGAAGCAATCTGAAAAAATACTCCATTTTGTAACTCTAATAAAAATAACTCAAATTTCAAATTTTAATAAAGGTAATACATATAACGAAATCTTCGGGAAATTTCAGTGTTATAAATCAATTTGGTTAATGTTTTAAACAAAATAACCCAACAAATTTGAGAAAGTCAAGCTGCCACTATGCATCTATAAAAAATGAAACAAAGCGCATTTCTCATTGATCCAAGTGTGTGGAGCTAGTGGTCATAAGAAGAGAAGATGCACGATTTAGTTAATATGAAATTTACTGAAGCTTACGTTTATCTATAATTCAATATATATTGTGTTTTAAGCTTGTTTTGCGCAACTTCATGCTAAGTAAATGGTTGTGGACACTTATCCTTTAAATGCCTGGAGCCGCTGTGATTTATGGATTGTACAAACCATCCGGTTTCAAATCCATTACAGAGGAGGCTCCGACGCTAGGTACTCATAATACTGGTGAATAGCTAGTACACCGGTCGCATTCGCAGTTCTATATCGTGTGAGTATGAACAGCTACTAAAGGCCTCAGGTGAAATCGAACCGCCGACCATTCTTTTGTGAGCTGAGCGCTTTACCACTAAACTATGGCACGATTGTTGCTAAAGATGCACCTCGTCGTGCAGACAAGTGGTGCCAAGGAAGGTTTCGACGAACAGCCTCCAACAGATACATATCAATATCACCGGTGTGGACAGGCTGATTGTCCAAGTTGCGGTTTTGTGGGTTAGCCAAGTATCCAGTGAAGTGTCCAGCGAAGTAGCTACCCACAAACACATAAAAAGTACATTAATCCAGTAAAGAATCAGCAGAATATTTGGTAGAATGATCTAGATAGGCTTAGAGGTAGCACAGCGAACTCAGGACCATCAATATATCTACTTTGCAGTTTGGTATCTACAGCACAAGTGCCTTCCCTTTTATTAGTTAATGACCCCAAGGCTTGTCTTCTCTGCCCCCGACGCTGACCACACCTTAGTCATGGACGCTGCTCCGCCACCACTGCCCGTATCAACAAGTTTGATGGCTTAAACTTCCAAGCGTGGAAGTTTGAGCCATCAAACTAAGATGCAGATGGTGCTCGAGGAGCAAGACCTTTGTGAGGTCGTATGCGGAGTGATCAAGCTGGAGCAGTGCGTTACGTCGTTGGACCACTCCACATACAAGGTCGGGTCTTGCAAGGCGATGGCGATCATCTGCCTTGCGATGGGACATTCTCAGCTACCGTTGGTTTGTTCTGCTAGTAGTGCGCATGATGCTTGATCACGGCTGGAAGGATATCCCGAAAAGAAGAGCCTTGCGGACAAGCTCTGTCTTCGTCGTCGCTTCATTGCCCAGATGGAAGAAGGAGAAGATGTGCTGGAGTACATCATCAAGATCAAGACGCGGGCGAGGCAGCTCGACGCAGTTGACGCTCTGGCCAGTGAGGACGACCTGGTCATTGTCCTTATTGCCAGTCTCAGCGAGTCGTATGCGTTTCTTTTCAGGGCATTGGAGTCAAGAGCCGACTCGTTGTGGTGGAAGCTCGTGACGTTTCGGCTGCTACACGAAGACTTAAAGCGCAAAGAGCAAGGTGGCAGATTCGATGGAGCCGTGCACAACCAAGGTCAAGCGTTCGTATCGACGAAAAATAGACGGCACAAGGGACGACAAGTACCAGTGAAGGGTAACAGCACCTGTAACTACTGCGGTGAACATGGGCATTGGATTGCCAAGTGCCCAACTCGGACTCGCGAGAATGCCGAGCGACAACGACCGCAGCGCGCAAACGTTGCACAGAATGATGACGATTCTGACGATTATCTTTTCTCGGTTGGCGTCATCACGGTTACGGCCAAGTGAGTTGCGTGAGGCTGGTCGACCCTGGTGCGACACAGCACCTGACATACTCGAAGAGTACATAGAAAATTGCAAGAAAATTGCACCAGTCAACGTGCAGCTTACGGACGATGGCGTGATGTAAGCAACTGAAACGGGCGATATTGTGATGTCGATGCTGACACCACGTGGAATGAAAAATGGTTTGTTAACTTATGTATGGCATATCCCAAAGCTTTCTCGCAAGTTGTTCTCAGTCGGACATTTTACCAAGGATGTTGGTCCAGTTATGTTTGAGCGGGACGGATGTTTTGCGGAAGCGAAAGGCCTTCGCTGAAAACTTGGAGCTCGTGAAGTCAAGGGACTGTTTAAGCTGTTCATGAAACCTATGTTTGTGGACGAGGTCAACATGACAAACCCGTCAAGATGCAATGGGGACACTACGTCGTACCTCTGGCACCTGAGACTGGGCCACATTGGCCATGGTGGTTTATCTACCATTGCCACCAAGGGCTATGGTACTGGTATCAGCTTAGCATCATTAAGCCAGTGGAAGCTTTGTGATGGGTGCGCGCTTGGCAAGCAGACTCGTGTGAGTTTCATGAAGTCCTCACCAAGTCGTGCCAAGCAAGTGCTATAAGTTGCGACGTGTGTGGTCCGATGCAGACACCAACATTTGGTGGGAAACGCTATTTTATTACATTTGTTTTCGAAAAGTCGCACAACTGTGTCGTGTACTTGCCAAGGATCAAGTCTGAGGTGGCTGATAAGTTTGCTAACTTTGTCGCGCTAGCCGAAAATCAGACCAACAAGCGCGTGAAAACATTTCGGTGTGACAATGGTGGTGAGTACATTTCTGGAGCACTGGCTAAGTATTGTGCCGATCTCGTCTTAGTAGAGAAGTTTACTCCCCCGTATATGTCTCAAGTCAATACTGTGGTCGAGTGTATGAATCGTACACTTGTGGAGTGTGCTCGATGCATGATGGAACACGCTAGCCTGTTGAAGTCACACTGGGGTGAAGCTGTCACAACTGCTACAATTCTTCGAAATCGCTGTCCGACACTCGCAGTCAATACCGACATGTCTCCATACCAAGTCTGGAAAGGAAAGAAACCGGTTCTGAAGAATTTGAAGGTCTTTAGCTGTCATGCATTTGTTCAAGTTTCGAAAGAGAAAAGGTCTAAGTTTGACGCTCGCTCCGTTCGCTGTTGCCTTTTGGGCTACACGGAGCACAAGAAAGCGTATCACTTTGAAGAAATTGAAGGCGGTCGCGAACTTGTTAGTCGTGATGCGCAATTAACGGAAGACGTCTTCGATAGTGGAAGCCGTGATTATTGTTGTGATCAAGATGCCTATGAAGACAATGGAGATACAGATAAAGATATATAAGAAGAAGATGAAGACGAAAATACTGAAATGGATAAAGACAAGGATAGTTTAGGCACCAAACGACATTCTCGTACGCATTCCCTTGAAGACACTACAGAGACTCCTAGTGCGTAGTGCTTCGTTCAGCGCACTGGACTTAAAGGCCTTGTTAGGTATGGAATTAAATATCATCAGCGAACGCAGTCGCATGAGGAGTCGGTGGAGCTTCCCGATGTCAAGCGCTCGAACCAGTACAACATGCAGCAAGGAATGGACGAATTGTGAGCTTCGGCCGAAGACTTCGAAGCTGCTTACGTCGTGGATTTAGTGGGAGAAGTGCCAACCGCCTTCAAGTCGGCAATAGAATTCAGCGACGCTGATGAATGGGCCAAGGCTTGTGACTCGGAAATGGAGTCACTAACAAGAACAATACGTGGGATCTAGTACCGCTTCCAAAAGTACGCAAAGCGATTGGGAACAGGTGGGTTTTTAAAGTCAAGGAAAATCAGGATGGAGAGGTCGAACGCCACTAAGCTCGTCTGGTGGCCAAGGGATTTGCACAAAAGTACGACAACGATAATGAGAAAACTTTTGATCCAGTTGCAAAGTTAACCTTAATAAGAGTATTGCTTAACCTCAGCGCCAGGTATGGTCTCACGGATCATCAGATGAATGTAAAAACGGCTTTTCTAAATGGACTTCTTGAAGAAGACATCTTCATGGTACAACCCGATGGTTATGTCGACAAAAGCCATCTCGATCATGTGAGCAAGTTGAAAAGGTCGTTGAACGGGCTCAAACAGTCGCCAAGAATGTGGAACAAGTCGATGATAATCTTATGCTACAACTGGAATTCAAGAAGTGGGAATTGGATCTTTTTGAGTACACAGAGCGCACGGCTCAATGGATGGCTTTTGTTGCGCTTTACGTTGACGACTTGATCCTCGCAAGTAGCAGCATCAAGATGCTTCAAGAAACAAAAGAAGCGCTTAGCGAGCGATTCGAGATGACCGATATGGGTCAGCTCAAGTATGTTCTTGGCATGAAGATTAACCAAGACACGGTGGCGAGGACAATTCTGATGTTGCAGACTAACTTCGCAAACGACATTATGGAGAAGTTCAAAATAGCACATTGCAAACCAGTCCAGACGCCACAAGATCCCGGCCTCAAGCTGACCAAGTCTATGTGATAAGGTTGATGCAAACATGACAAGACTATGGCTGGCGTGCCGTATCGCAATGCCACTGGGTGCTTCATGTATCACATGGTAGGCACACGTTCAGATCTGGCAGCGGCAGTTGGAGCGCTGAGTCAATTTGCACCTATCCATGTCCAGCGCATTGACAAGCGCTTAAGCGAGATTTCCGGTACATTAAAGGCACGAAGAATAGACATTAAATCTAAAGCAAGCTGCAAACAAAGGCTTCAAGGCTATTCTGGTGCGGACTGGGCTGGCGATATCGAAGCAAGACGAAGCACAAGTGGATACGCATTCATGATGAGCGGTGCCGTTATCAGCTGGTGAAGCAAGAAACAGCGCACGGCAGCTTTGTCGTCGACTCATACCGACTACATCGCGCTTTAAAAAGGAAAGCAAGAAACAATTTGGCTCACGACGTTTCTTTGCAGCCTTAATGAAGTGGTGACAAGCGATGCAGTCAAAATTCTTGAGGACAATCAAGGCTTTATTGCGCTTGCGAAGAACTCCGAGTTTCACATGCGCACAAAGCATATCGACAATCGTAACCGTTTTGAACGTGAGAAGGTTGAAGACGGCCAAGTTGCTCTCGAGTACATTTCGACGTCGGACATGCTGGCGGATATAATGACCAAGGCTGCTCCTGCAAGTCAGTTTTGTAGTCTTCGAAGTAAGCTCGGCATTTAAGCACCTAGTACTCCCGAGTCGAGTGGGAATATTGTTAAAGATGCGCCTCGCCGTGCAGACTGGTGGTGCCAAGGAAGCGTTTTGACGAGCAGCCGCCAACAGGTACATATCACCATTACCGGTGTGGACAGGCTGATTACACAAGTTGCGTTTTCGTGGATGAGCCAAGTATCCCGTTAAGTATTTAGCAAAGAGGCTATTCACAAGCGCATAAAAAGTAAATTAATCCAGTAAAGAATCCAGTAGAATATTTAATAGAATATTTTAAATAGGCTTAGTGGTAGCACAGCGAACCCAGGACCTTATAATATCTTGAATTGCAGGTTTCCATTTACAGCACAGGTGCCTTCTTTTTTTTCAACGATAAGGTTTAGCAATATAATGGGATCACTTTGTATCTATTGTGTGAAGTGCACTACAGGGTGGTTTATTACGAGTACATTACAGGCAATGCCCTCTCGCATGTATCTTACACAAAAATGGATTATTGCTTTTATTGCAGTTTGAAATTGTAGTATTTTTTTATCAAAAGTTAAAGAGTAATTTTTATATTCCCTATATCTAACCTTGAAATATGAACAGTACTCTATACAGCGGGGCTGCCGTAGCTTTGCGCTTAGAGGAAGCTTAATTTAGGCTACCGACCTTAAGTTCTTCACAAGAACCAGTACGAGGGTAGCGCATCACAATCCGCCACCTCCAAGAGTAGTAATAGCCTTGACCCAAGGCTAATGAACTTTGCTTAAAATGTATATTGTATTTATTTCTTTTATCTGCGGCAAAGCCGCCTAATTTTAAATGTATAGTTCTCCTAAATATATATAATAAAATTTAAATACATGCATAACTACTGGCTACCCAGCCACGTACCGTATTCTTATTTGGGTGCTGTCACACCATGCACATCTCGTGTAGCACACACCCCTGTTACCAGGGTACGTGTAACCCCGTTACACTCTCCCCCCATAAGATTGCGAACATTTACAGTTCCAATCGATTATTGCCTCAACGAGGCTTGCGTGTTCGCTAGACACTGCAACTTTGTTCGTTGGAACAAAACGACTTTCGTGCTTAATGATCTCTGTGTTAACGACACTGAAGTTACCAAGTCTCGCCGGTTCTGACAGCGTACACGGGCAGGGCCCAACTTCGTCTCCCGCACGCGGTGCAATGTCGGGCAGTGCGTCCGCGGCATCGAGGGATGTAAATCCTACGCTCGATGAGCCCGAGCGTCGCGCTCCGCGCACGCTATCAGTGACAAGTGACTTTTTCGAGGATGTGGAGGTGGTCGATTACAAGTCTGACACTTTTTTTCCCGTGTGGGATGACGAGGAAGGCGAGCCGCGCCAGCGGCGTGAGACGAGCCCTGCTCGCGCCTTTCGGACCCCATGTCCGTTTCCTGACTTCTCGTCATCTGAGGGACGTGGTGTAATCACCAATGATCTCGACGGGGCACAGAAGCGGCAGCTGAAAGCTGCCCGTAAGGCGGCTCTGATGCACGATTTTCCACGGTCGGTCATTGACCCTCGTGTGGTATATGACTTCCACCCGGTGGATCCCGCTGTGGAAGCGAAGGACACGGTAACTCGACTGTTACGCCTCCACATCGTCGGCCCCCCGGCTCTTACGGAAGATGAGCTTGCCGAACAGAAATCTCTTCGAGCTCGTTTCTTGGTTCCATAAGAATTTTCGTTGGAAGCTCTTCGCACTCGTCTGCGTGCTCAACGAGGTGGCTCTCGTGTACCCGCAATGCGGACAATACCCGTAGTGCTCGCCCCTGGCGAAAGCGCTACATTTGACAAAGCGCTCTTTGGTTGATGGGTGCAACGGCACCGGAAACTTTCCTTACTGTATAACGTACAGTTGAGCCACAAGGAAGTGGACGGGCTTGTGGAGCGACACCTCCGATTTGCGTTTGCCAAACACAAGAAACGCTGTCGACTTCCTTTGAGTTGTCGCCCTGCGACGTATGGGTCAACCCCTAACGCTCCCGAGAGCTTTGTGTCAGCGGCCGCGGGAGCTCAAAGCCACTACTTGAGCTCAACTCATGGCCCTACTACTTTCCTGGCTATTACCGGGAAGCGCGGGGTGTCCTGGTCTTTCTGATAAAAAGCGTCCACGGCGTCTGAGCAATCTTGCTGAAGTGGCGTCTCAAACTCCCACGAGTTTTCGGAGTCGGGATATCTCCACCACTTCACCAGATATTGGGTTTGACCCTGGTGACGACGTCGTCTCACTAGACATTCCACGTGAAAGTGGACGTCACCGTTCTCATCGAGAAGAATCGGTGGCAGGCGGCGGTCGACCGGTGATTCGTGATACTCTTCGAGCCCTTGAGGACGAGGTCCTTTGTGATTGGAGCTCCGCTGAGCGTCATGCTGAAGTTGCATATCGCTGTGCGGACGCTCTTGACGATTTAAAGAACGTCGTGCGCCGGCTGCCTCACCTTGAGGACTACTGCGCTCTGTCGGAGCAACTTCTAGCCGTGGAGCAGGCGAATGTGTCGATGAATGCGACGGTGGAGCGCTTGGCGCCATTAGAAGTGGAGGCTGTTGCACTCCGTGCTCAGAACCAGTCGCTGGTTCAGCTTCTGGGTGGCTGATGGCCCGTGGGATCCGCTCCGGCGCCAACGCTTCCGCGCTCACTTGCGCCGGATCCCGGTACGGCTTGAGCAAGCCCACGTAAAACACCGAGTGGGTGCGCATC